TCTCAGCTTATAGCTTAGGCCTGTTCCAACCAGCTCCTGTAATTTAAATTAACCCGTTCGTGTTAATCTATGTACGTGGCATTACCTCTCTTCCATCCTAACAACTGAGCCATCTCTCCAACTCCCCCTTTTTTGAGAGAGGTTCTCTCACTGAAACTAGGTCTCGCCCCAGCCACCCTGCGACATCACTGCCCTTCTCACAGCGAGGTGAGAGACGCTGCTGCACACTGAGCTTCACAAGGACCCTGCAGATCTGAACTCGGGTCCTCGTGCTTGAGCAGTGAGCAGTTTGCCCACATAAGTTGACTTGCTGTTCGAATGTGCATCCATGTGCACATGTGGGGGTCAGAGGACCACCTGCAGGAATCAGTTCTTCCCTCCTGTGGGTCCTGTGGACAGGACTCGGGACGATAGCTTGTACCTTTCCTGCTGAGCTATGTCACCAGTCTACCTAGAATTGATTTTTGAAGAGGCCACCAACATTAGGGAGGTGGAGGGCGCAAGGAGCCTGGGGAAGGAGAAACAATGGGAGAGAAGCCCAGGTGCTCGCTGACCCAACTGGCCCTTCTCATCCACAGGGAGCTGGCCTACCAGATCGCTGAGCAGTTCCGGGTGCTGGGAAAGCCCCTGGGTCTGAAGGACTGCATTATCGTTGGCGGCATGGGTATGGGGGCTGAGAGGCTGGGGTGAGCCGTGGGTCCCTACTGATCCCACCCACCTAACCTCACCTCCCCCCCCCCCCACAGACATGGTGGCTCAGGCGCTGGAGCTGTCTCGAAAGCCACACGTGGTGATTGCCACCCCTGGACGCCTGGCTGACCACCTGCGCAGCTCCAACACGTTCAACATGAAGAAGATCCGGTTCCTGGTGAGCCAGGTGTTCCCCTCGGACCTCGAAGCCAGAGACTGGGCTAGGAAACATGCAATATCCATTCTCTTTCCTTTTCTTTCTTTTCCGTTTGAGGTAGGGTCTCTCTGTGTAGCCCCGCTGTCCTGTAACTCCCTGTGTAGATGTGAGCTGCTATGCTCAGCTGACATCTGTTCTTGACTTGGTTTCACATGGGCAAAGGGCTACAAATAAAGACGAGGGCCGCCCGGGCGTGGTGGCTCGTACCTTTCATCCCAGTACTTGGGAGGTAGAGACAGAAAGGTCTCTGTGAGTTTGAGGCCAGCCTGATCTACATAGTGAGTTCGAGGACATTCAGGGCTCCACATTGAGCCCTTGCCTCATATGGACACGGCATACAGAAGGCGGGCACCCTTGAGGACCTGCTGGAGCCTTGCAGAGTGGGGCTGTGGGCCTGAGGCCAGACAATGTTCAGGAGCCCATTGGGTCGTCCCTGAAGAGCGGGGCACTGGGCATGGGGCAGGTCCTGGGTTGTGTTCGCAGCTTTTGCACTGGTCCAGCCCCTTGTCCCACCCCTCTGGTGGCAGGTGATGGACGAAGCTGACCGGCTGCTGGAGCAGGGTTGCACCGACTTCACTGCAGACCTGGAGACCATCCTGGCAGCTGTTCCAGCGCACAGGCAGACCCTGCTGTTCAGTGCCACGCTGACTGACACGCTCAAGGAACTGCAGGGCCTGGCTACCAACCAGCCTTTCTTCTGGGAAGCTCAGGCCCCGTGAGTTCCAAAGCTGTGGGTAAGGGTCCGACCAGAGAGTGCAGGCGGAAGGGGAAACTGAGGCTCTGCTGCTGCTCTGCCCCCAGGGTGCGCACAGTGGATCAGCTGGACCAGCGCTACCTGCTGGTGCCCGAGAAGGTGAAGGATGCCTACCTGGTGCACTTGGTCCAGACCTTCCAAGACCAGATGGAGGACTGCTCCATCATCATCTTCACCAACACCTGCAAGTGAGTAGGCAGCTCCTGCCGCCTGCGTTGGACATGTGGCCCTGTCTCCCTCATCTGCAGGTGCAGCTAGGCCAGATCTGTGAATTTGAGGCCAGCCTGGTCTATATAGCAAGTTCCAGGCCAGCCAGAGCTACACTGTGGCCCTGGCTCAAACCAAACAAAAATCTCAAAATAGCTGTTGGCTGTGTCAGCTTGAGTCAGTTAGAAGGGCAGACACGGGAGGCTCGTGTCTGTCCACAGAAGAGGACATGTTCTCTGTGGGACAGAGCAGGCGGCCATCAGGCACGGCAGGACCCAGCCACTTAAGAGCGCTCTTCTGGAAGTCAGTGCCACAGTTAGGGCTGGTCCTTGTTGGTTCTAGCTTTGAGAAGCACAGCAGGCCTAGCATTTCTACAACTCCTGGTAGGTTGAGGCAAGATACCCACAACCACTCTTTTTCTTCCAGGACCTGCCAAATCCTTTGTATGATGCTTCGGAAGTTCAACTTCCCCACAGTGGCACTACACTCCATGATGAAGCAGGTAACGGCCATGGCCACTCGGAGGCTGGGCATGGAGCTTAGTGGGGAGAGTGCCTGCCTAGCGTGAGACCCTGTGTTCTATCCCCAACTGTGTAACCTGGGCATGGCTTGCGTGCCTGTTACATTTGTTCAGGACTCAGCGCTCAGGAGGTGGGGCAGGATGAACAGGAGTTTAAAGCCAGTGGGTTTTTTGTTTTCTTTGGGGGTTTTATTTTTTCCTGTCGTTTGAGACAGGGTCTCTATGTAGTCCTGTCTGTCTTGGATCTCTCTATTTAAAGTAAGCTGGCCTCAGACTTTGAGAGATCCCTTGGCTCTGACTCCTAAGTCCTGGGAGTAAAGTGCATCGCTGTGTCCAGTGCGACCCTGTCTTTAACAAAACATGGAAACAAGATGTCACGTCTCAGTGGCGCCCCACCTCTCCTCGTGTCACCCTGGTGTCCCTGCTCTCTGTCTTGTCCCAGTCCCATCCATCTGCTCACAAACCTCCCCCACCTGTGGCACAGAAAGAACGCTTTGCAGCTCTGGCCAAATTCAAGTCCAGTGTGTACCGGATTCTTATCGCCACGGATGTAGCCTCAAGGTGAGCAGGCTCAGAGCAGTGTGCCTTTCTTCAGGGGTCTAGGCCACTCTGAGACCAAAAGGCTGGGCTTGGACGTGGGAAGGAATGACATGGATGCCCCAGCTGAGTGCTCTATACCCCCAGGGGCCTCGACATCCCCACTGTGCAAGTGGTCATCAACCACAACACCCCCGGGCTCCCCAAGATCTACATCCACCGAGTTGGTCGAACAGCCCGTGCAGGTGAGCAGGTCCAGGTATGGGAGGTTCTAGTTGTAGTGAGAGACTCTGGGGAGCTCAGGTCTGTCCTTCAGAGGCAAAGAGTCAGTGGGGGGCACCTTATTGGGATGCTGACCCAGGGACCAGGGAGACATCTGCTCTGATAGTCCCTCCTGCTTGTAACCAGGAGACAGGATGCTGGGCTGGACGGGGCCTGCCATCCCACCTGCTGAAACCAGAACCCTGTCTGAGGCTGCTGTGACCTAGGCCCTGCTGGCAAACTGCATCAGCTCGGTCACCATTGTAGAAAGAAAGGGCAGCAGAGCAGGGCTAAGCCCAGCCTCTCTGAGTGGAGCCACGCCCTCTGAGAGGGCTCCTAGAGCTTACCAGCTGGGACCAGCCATTTGGTGGGACCCAGGTTCTGTAACAGGTGTGTCCCTGCAGGGCGGCAGGGACAGGCCATCACCCTGGTGACGCAGTATGACATTCACCTGCTGCATGCCATCGAGGAGCAGATCAGTAAGTGGGCAGGGTCCATGGGTAGGACATGCCCAAGGGTGGGAGATGGTTTCCCTGCCTGGGTCACTCTGGAGCCATAGGCCAGTGCAGGGTGTCGCCCAGCCAACACTACAGAGAAGACTGCTGTTCACAGGGCCACCAACCCTGGAGCTGCATCTGCATCTGTGGTAGTTAGGTAGCCAGGACTTGAACTCCCAGGCGCCTGGGTCTCCTCTCTCATTTGCCCATTTCATTTACTCATTTATTTGAGACAGACCCTTGCTCTACAGAGCTGGCTTAGAACTCACAGTGATCCCCCTGCCTCTGCCTCCCCAGTGCTGTGATGACAGGCATCTGCCACCAAGTTTGGCACTTTTTTCCGAATGTCATCAGTCCAGACATCCGGAATTGGGGCTCCGAGGGCCAGTCGCACTCAGCCCAGCTCAGTGTTGCATGTCTCCTCTCACATCTGCTCTGCAGAGAAGCAGCTGGAGGAGCTGGCTGTGGAGGAGGCCGAGGTCCTGAAAATCCTCACGCAGGTCAACGTGGTGCGCAGAGAATGCGAGATCGTGAGTGTGGCCACTAGGTTGTGGAGCGGGGCCCCCTGCCCTATGGGCCTGCCCTGACCCGTGCCCTTTCCGTAGAAACTGGAGGCCTCACATTTCGATGAAAAGAAGGAGATCAATAAGCGGAAGCAGCTGATCATGGAGGGGAAGGTAGATCAAGGGGCAGGGCTAAGCAGGGGTGTGGCCAGTATGGGAAGCTGCCCTGCTGAGATCTCAGGATCTCAGAGACAGCCTTGCTCCCTTCCTCAGGACCCGGACCTGGAGGCCAAGCGCAAGGCGGAACTGGCCAAGATCAAGCAACAGAATCGGCGCTTTAAGGAGAAGGTGGGGCAGACGCTTCGGCGGCGGAAAGCAGGGATTACAGGCCGAGGGGCTCGTTCTCCTGAACCTCGGCTTCCGGTGTCTACCCAGGATAAGGCTCAGACCTGAGCGCAAACCTGCAGCCGCTGGTCCTTGGGTGGGCCACAGAGGACCTCAGTAAACACTCTTTGAACCTGCCAGTCCGACTTGAGAATGGGACAGGTTGGGTGTTGAGCTGCGGGTTTCTGGTCCCCAAAGCCTCTCATGCCCCGTGGGGATGACCACCGCGGCCCTCACTTGCATCTCTGGGATGCAGGGCGGTGGCAGCTAGCGACAACAGGTGCCAGCAACACCACGTGCTTGTACAGCCACGTAGAAATGTAATCTGGGTATCAGCGCCACCCTTGGATTCTAGAGAACTACACAGTGCAAAGCTCAGAGGCGGCCCTGGTTCCCTGCCAGGGCACCTTAGGGCCGCAGACCCACCAGGGCCAACTAGGGTGTCACCTCTGCCAGGCGTGCCAGGCCCTCACGCAGCTCACTCAGCTCGAACAGTCGCACGTCTAGGAGCTGCGCGGCCCGGCCCACCTCTGCCCGCGCGCGCTCCCGCTCGGCCTGAGCCTCCTCCAGGCTGCACTCCATGGCCCGCAGCTGCTGCTCCAGCTCTGCATTCCGTGTTTCCAGGTCCTGCAGGGGAAGGAAGGAGCGGTGGGGTGGGGCGGTCTATGAAGCCTCTGGTCGGCCCTCCCTGCTGGGTGTGATCCATGGCTCCCACAGGCTGGGAGACGACAGCATTAAAGTGTCTTAAAAGCAGGAAGTGCCCAGCGTGAGTTCAGAGCCCAGTGGTCACGTAGAAAGCTGAGCATGGTTGGCGTGCACTTGTAATCCCAATCCGGATTCCTGGAGCACACTGGCCCGCCTAAGCCTGCCCAAGGCCAGTAAGAAACCGTAATTCTAAAGACTGGGGAGATGGTCAGTGCTTAAGAATATAAACTCCGGAGCACTTGGGTTCGCTTTCAAGTATCCACACGGGTCGGCTCACAACTGTATGTAGTGCCCTAGGGAGCACAACCCACACAAGTAAAGCCAGATGCCCCTGGGGGGAGCATGGCGGAGCACATCTTTGATCCCAGCACTGAGAGGTAGAGGCAGGTGCCACGGTATCAAACAAAAATACCCAAGTTGAAGGTTTAATCCCCAGTACCCACATGGTGGGAGGAAAGAACTAACCTTGTGATCCCAGGAAACATGCTTAGCGAAGTGAGTGGTATTTAACCGAAGGGATGGTGAGGTGCCGGCTGTAACCTGACAGCCCTTAATTCCAGTCCCTCTTACCCACTGGAAATCCGGTGCCCCAGATACAGCTAGGGTCGGAGAACAGATCCCCACTGCTCCGTGGCTCAGAACTCGCGCGCAGTGACACAGACTGAAGACAGTGGTGTCTGGTGTGCGCTTACACCACCAGCAACCACGACGCAGGCCACCAGTCCAAGGGTCCTCGGTTTTGAATCTGCACAAGCTGCACCCACCCCCGAGGACAACAGAGTCCCCAGGAATGTCTTGGGGACACTCCAGGTACTTTCTTGGGTGCCGCAGACTGCTCAAGTACGGGAGGATGAGGTCTGAGACTAGAAGACTTGAAGGCCTCACAAGTTTGGGTAGATATTCCCATCCTGCTCACAGGCAGGTGGAACCTGTTCTATAAACTCACATACGTGCGCCCATGACCCACAGCCAACCTGAACCTTCTGCTGTGTCTCCTCCCGCTCAGTAGTGTCAGGAGCTTCTCGAGTTCCTGAGCTTTGATTCTTCAAAGTCTGGATCTCCTAGAGAGAAAAGTTTCTGGGTCTGCTCAGAGAACCCTGGATTCCCAGGGAGACTGGCCCGAGGCAAGACCTTGGAGCTAGCTCCTCGCTCACCTGGTCCTTGGTCTGCACCTGAGCCTCCAGTTGCTCCACGGATTGGCTGGTTACCTCCTTCTCGCCCACCGGAACCGGCTCTGCAGCCGCCTGGGCCTCCAGCTCCGCCACCTGCACACACGCAGCTCAGCATTCCCACCCTCTGGGACATGGAGAGCCTGGGGATCTCATGGTCTCAAGTCATTTTACAGCAAGAAATGATATTCTGGAGACTGAAACGGGGCAGAAGAGATGGGGGGAGCGGGGGTCCTCACCCGCTGCCGCAGGCGCTCGGCCTCTGCATGCTGGGCCTCTAGCTGCTGCCTCCATTGCGCAGCAGCTGCGTTGGCCTCGCGTAGGGCCCCTGCCAGCCTCTGGTTGCTGTCCTGTAGTGCGAAGAATTCGGCCTCCCACTGGACCTCGCCCACGGAGCTGAGGGAAGACACCAGGCTGGGGGTGTGCGTAGCCAGAGAGGGTGGCAACTAGTGGAGCGCCTCCTGGGCTAGGGGCAGGGTCGGGACAACACTAGACTAGGAAGCGGGGACCAGGGCATGTGAAGCAGCGAGTTGTGGCTCATGAACTGAGACAGGAGGATCCCCTTAAGTTCGATGTCAGTCTAGGCTACATAATGAGTTTCAGGCCAGAGTGGGCTACACCGCAAGACCCTACCTCCAAAGATTTTTGGAAATCTATCCTTGCCCCTCCCAGACTGTCATGTGATAGCCCATGAGAGCCACGGAGTGGGAAGTAAATGATGAGGGAGGGGCAACCATGAGGCAGGAACGGATTGCCTCCTTTCCCAGGTCGGCAGCCTGGATTCCTACCCCACACCCCTGCCACCTGCGGCATCCACGCCCACACAAGCCTTGCTCCGGTATTACCACCACCATCCAAGGCCCCATCCCACTACCCACGTCCCCTGCATCCTAAAAGTCTGTCCTGGGGCTTCCCTGGCACGCCCATGGTGCCAGCCAAGGCCCTGCAGCTCAATCAGAGCCACAATACACTCCTTAGGCCCCAGTCACGCCCCATCTTGGCTTCAAGCAGGCTCCACCCCTCACCCTTCCGACAGCATCTTCTTCAAGCGCTCTCGCTCGGTGGGGCCAGGGGCGTCTGCACTCTGGCTGCGGAACAACTTCTCCTCTCCGGGACCGTTGGTGCTGACCAAGGGACTTGGGGGAACCTGTGTGTGGGAGCCAGGACTGAGTCACCGTGAGAGCTTGCTTCAGTCAAGGGCGGAGTAGGAGGTAAGGTAGATTGAGTCGAGGACTGGGGTCACTGGGGTACTGATTGAAATTAGGGAGTCTGAACAGGCTTGTGAAGCCCAGTGTTGTGTCTCCTCTCCTCACCCTCCATAGCTCCCCAGGCTCGTGGATGGGGAACCACACCCCCCGCGTGCGGGGGGGGGGGGTCTTCACTGACACCGCAAGACCCAACAACCTTTAGAAACAGGGATCTGAACACTTGGAACTATTCTCCAGGAAGTTTTCCCCTGGGCACAGAAACGTCAAACATTCCACTTAAAACTGAGGAATGGGCTGGTGAGATGGCTCAGAGAAGGAGCTGGTCACCAAGCCTGAGGCCATGCTGGAAGGAGAGCTCTGCACCCAGACACATGCAATCAGCCTTAGACACACATGTGCACACATGATACGTGTCTAAGGCCATCGGTCAGCCTTAGACACCTGACGTCAGAAGCACACACAGCTGCCCCGGGAATGTGGCAGGAATCGAGGCAATAGAGGCAGACAGCAGAAATACCCACCTGGTGAGAGGCAAGAGCCAGGGCAGAACTAGTGAATTCGCCATCTTGAGATTTCTCCCGAGCCAGTCTGGCAGCTTCCTTCACCTCCTGAAACTTCTCAGCAAACTGGGGGTGAGGCAGGGGGACAGTCAGAGGCATTTCCCTCACCACCTGTCACATCCCCATCCCCCACCTGCACTGGCACCCTGGAGCCTTTGGGGAAGGTTGGAAAAGGTCAACCCTGTGACCATCTTGGGTGTCAAGGGTGACCGGGGTTATGCCATAGAGGTGACATTAAGGTTCTGAGCCACACAGAAAGGGACTCCCTGTTCCTGTCAGGCTGGCTGGGAGTGGACAGCCGGAGGCTGCGCCCATCTGTCCTTCGCGCTTGCCAGTATCTCATAACACAGGGAAGGGTGTCCACAGCCTGAGTGCTGGCCTCCTGCTCCTAAATGGGCCATCTGACAGCTAGTGCTGTCCTGTGCTTATGAGAATGTATTTTCTTTTCACTTTGAAATAATTTCCAAAGGCAGCAGGTAAGAGCACCAGCTGCTCTTCCAGAGGATCTGGATTCAATTCCCAGCTCCCAACTGGCTGTGACTCAAGTTGCAGGGGATCTGAGTCCCTCACACAGACCAATGCTCATAAAATTAAATTTTCATTTATCAGAAATAATCTGTGAAGACCTAGCAATGACTCCGTGGTTAGGAAGGAAGGCAGAGCTGTACCAGAGTCCACACCACCTCGGGCAACTAACTCCCAGCTGTGACCCCAGGGGATCCAGCACCCTCTTCTGGTCTTGGGGCATCCACACACATGCACACAGGCACAAACACAGAAATTTCTTAAAAAACAAACCAAGCTGTGGTGGCGCACGCCTTTAACCCTAGCACTGGGGAGGCAGAGCAGGCGGATCTCTGTGGGTTCGAGGCCAGCCTGGTCTACAGAGTGAGTTCCAGGACAGCCAGGGCTACACAGAGAGACCCTGCTTCGAAAAGAAAAGAAAAGAAAAGAAAAGAAAAGAAAAGAAAAGAACATCTGAGGCCAGCGATCTGACTCAATAAGCTGTTGTCAAGCCTGATAACCTAAGTTTGACCCACGGGACTTGCAAAGTAGGAGGGAACTGACCCTCACAGGCTGTCCTTTGACTTCCAAAGCACACAGACACGCAGCACAGAAAAACCAAATAAATGTAATAAAAACTCTTAAAAGAACCCGTGTTTTTAATTGTATGTACATACATACGTGTAAGCGCCCCCAAAAACCAGAGGCCTGAGTCCCCGTCGTCCCCCCGTCGTCCCCCCGTCCCCCCC